TTGAGTATTACCCACATTTGTGTGTGATGTGGCAAAAAACAATTTTACTATTGGCTGATTATTTATGTTGATGTGGAGGGTCTCTCCTTTGAGTATTAAGAGTTTTTAATATTAGTTGATATACATATATTTATACTGATAATATTTTACTTGTACTAATGACCTCTACTTACTTCTATACAGGTACATATTTTGCATAGCTTATATAGAAAGATGTTATAGACTGCACATATATATAACATTAAGAAAAATGTATATACATACGATGTCATTGGATATACTGAGGCGCTCTATGTGAGGTGAATGAACATTGGATTTTAGTAATATAGATGTTTAATATATGTGTCAATCGAAAGAAAGATGTTGTCTGTACATAACATAAAAATTGGGTCATAATATTTTTGACTTATCAGAAAAATTGTATAATTTCAATTTGTTCATACTTCATACGATAATAATGAATAACAATGAATAATAATAATGATATTCATTTAATTGAGAAATGAATCGGTGTGTTCTAGTTAAAATTGATTTTAAGACCACATTAATTGAACTGGAAAAGACTAACATTAAAATAGGTAGGTTCAATAATTACTTAATGGCATAGAAGTGTAAATAATTTGGAAATTTTAGGGTTATTTTTAAATGGTAGTTATGTTTTAATAATATAGATATAAGATGGAAAATAGTACAAAAGCTAGCATATCACATATTTCTCTACGTAAACCAAGAAGGAGAAAATAAACAACTTTACTCTGTTTCAACAGTAACTAACGAAAAGGAAAGTGAAACAACTTTTACCTGATTAGCTAAATATTAGCTCGAGTCAAAGTAAATATGTTTTACTCTTAAAATATATCGTCAAAATTACCATACAATCATAGTCTAGACTAAGAAACAACATAACTTTTTAACTTATCTCATCTTCGATGAAAAGTAAAAAAGAACTCTAAGTTTTCTATTTGAGTATGAATTGTGATTGTCATTGCCCATTGATATAAGGGGTTTTAAAAATTTCATGTCGTTTATATGATTACATGAAACTCTGTGTTCAATTTAACGATATCTCGTTCAGAAAATATGACTTTGTTTACAGAGGTTAAAAGCATTACATATTTAATATTTAAAGGACTAAAAACATAAAGTTTTAGTTGAGGGTTTTCCATCCAATTAAAAATAGTTGGAGGTTTAAATCACTAAAATATATATTGATGATAAGAACTTCTTCTCGGTTTTAAAATTACATGAAACACAGTATTTTGATTTAACGGATTTCTATTAAGAAAATACAATTTTGATAATGGAAGGTTAACGGCATTAACGGTTTAATAGTTGGAGGTTTAAAACATAAAACTTTAGTTGGAGGTTTTTCATCTGATTTAAAAATAGTTAGAGATTTAAATCACTAAAAACTCAAACAATAATATAATAGTTTGTACACCGTATATTTTTTTTATTAAACTTGTGTACATGATTTATTTAAAAAAATTTCGTTTTTGTGTTAAATTTTTGGATCTTAGAAGAAAATTATATTTTGTGATATGCATTAAAATTTATATTTAATATTTTAAAAGTATAAGAGAAATAATGATCAGAATTGTAATTTTTAGCTTTACTCAGTGTTTTCATTCTCGATTCGGATTTTCGGTCGAATTTATAAACCTGATGATCCGAAGTCGAACCCGTAAACTCTGTTACATATATATAATCCGGTTCATTTTAATGAAAATCCATTAGTTTAAAATTCGATAAAATTTGGTAAAAAGGTAAACACACGCCAACCAATAACATGTGACTCGAAACTGATTGACCTAATAAAAACCCAAGAAATATGATAATATTTTCAAAATTTTGAATAAACTTTTCATTTACTTTTAATAATATATAAAATTAAATAAATTATTTTTAGGACATTTCGAACTGATTTTAATTCTTATTGTTATCCACATACATGTTCTGAAATGTTTAGCATCAGAAAGGCTATTGATTTCATGATAGATGTCACTATAGCTTTCAAATTTTTGATATATAAGAATGAGTGAATGATCAGAATATTGTGGTAAAGATAGTTGTATGTTAAAGACGTGTAGAGCTTATTTAGAATTTATAAAATTGTAAGCAAATCAAGTAATATATTTGAAGAATAACAAATGTCAGATCTTCCTCAACCAGCAGCTTCTTCCAAGTTCACCACCGGCTCCACACTCTGCTCATTCACAAGTTCACCCTCACGAGCATGTACCAGCACCATCTATTACTCATTTTCAAGTGTCTGTTCTTCCTCATCAACAGATTCTTCTTCTTCTTTTGCTTCTGTTTCCTTAGCACTGATATCAGAAGCATAATCCACTTTAGGCTTAGATGAGATGAGTTACACATATTTTCTCAAACTTGTTAGAAAATCTTGTGTACTCGAATTGGAACCATCCAATTGTAACTGTGGCCCTTGCCTTCCATGTCCCCAAGTTTCCAAAACTTCTATCAACTTTCTTCTTATCCTTAGCTAGTTTCGTATGTAGAAGAAAAATCAATATTCATCTTCTTCAAAATAAGGATACTCCGTTGCTCTCCACCATTACTAGATATTGTGTCTTAGAAAACTCTATCGGCAAGAAAATTCACAGTAGCGATCTGATCCTTGCGTATGAAACGCTTGAGCATAAGGATCACTTCATAACTCTTTGGAGAAAATCGTACATAGTCAGTGCGACCTGAAAAAACATATCAAGGCAATATAAAAACACAAGCACATGATATCAAGGCAATATAAAGACACAAACATATCAAGACTAGAAGGATTACTTCAGCTCCATAACACTAATGATAAAGACACAAACAATAAAGGCAAATATTATATCAGCTTCTTCTGTAATCAATTTCTACGTAAATGCCCAGTTCAACTTCCCGTAAATGTTATCACCTAGATGAACTTCTAAAATCAGCTTCATTTCAAAATAAAATACGCCAAGTCAGCTTTCCGTTTCTGTTCCATAATCGGCTTCTTCTAAATTCAATTCCTAAATAAATGTGAAAATCAGCTTTCCGTTTCTGTTCCATAATAATCAGTTAAGTTTCTGTAATCAATCATACCTTGTGGAGGATTTGGTGCCGGTAATGCCATATTTTCTTTTGATCTCCTCTCTCAACAAAACCCTAGAAAATTTTGACGAGAGAAGAATGAGACTCGGGTTATAGAAGCACGTCAGGTTATAAAATGAGGGGATATAAATCGAAAAACTCCAAATTTCTCAAAAGGTTTTAAAAACCCCAAAACTTCTAAAAAGGTTTAAACACCTCCCCCCCCCCCCAAATCAATTATACTGTTTCATACCAATATTTTGATTTGTGTTTTCTCCCACTCCATCAATAATATTGTTTCATACTAGTATTATGATTTACCTATCTTTATCTGTAAAAGCATAAAGAGACGGTCACAATACTTACCTCCAATACTTTCAACCAACATGTAATCATTACAGCTTCCAATATTATCTTTTCTAGACTCATGTATAGCAGGTACCATTGTCATTTCATAAACCTAGAGATAAGAACAATGCATATAGAAACCATCAGTGATCTCAGAAGAACCCTTTTGTCTTCATTCAAAATAAGGCATTTTGAAAGAGTATTTAGATATAGAATATACTTGTTGCACTTGCGTTGCAGGGAATACATCCTCAAACCTGTAGCAGTTTCCAAGCAGCTTTATACGCATCTGGATTATGCTCAAACACAGAGAAAGCATGATTCTAGTTTAAAACTTGCGAACAGGTAAAAAGCATACATGTGAGGTTGGTTTAAGATTTACATCAGGAATCCAACCCACCAAACAACATAACAAGAACAAAAAAGGCCAAAAAAGATGTATAAATACATACCTAGCAAGATTGATCACTTTTTAGATTGCAAGGCGGGACTTCTGATCCTGTTCAAGGAAGTATGTGCAATGAGCATTGTTGTCTTGGTGAGACTTCTGATCATGTTCAAGGAAGTATGTGCAATGAGTGCTTGTCATGTTGTTTTGCTTATTACAATAGTGTGTTAAGCTATTCAGATCACTATACTTGAAACAGGGTTTCAAGTTTTGTCTGTCTTGATGGTCTCATTTGGAACTTGCAAGAACAAGATTCTGATCCTGTTTCCTGATCTCTACATTGACAGTTTCTACTTATTGCACGAACAAGATTCTGATCCTCTACATTGACAGTTTCTACTTATTGCAAGAACAAGATTCTGATTCAGTTTATTTCACTACAAAGTATTGTGTAAATATTGACAACTATAGTACTGTGCTTTAATTTAAACTACATCTAATAATATGTATGTGTTGTGATTATAAAACTCTAATACATAAATGGCAGATTTCTCTAAAGGGTACTTTCTGATGCAAACACTAATGAGGCTACAAGAAAAGGGAAAATATATTTTGATGAAACATAAATCAATGTGTTTATACGGAATAGTAAATGCCTAAGAGGCAGTCTAATGTTGAATAAAGACAACAACTGAACTGGACTGTTGTTTTCAAGGCATTGCTCTTCTTGTGAGTCGCCGGGAGAGATGGAGGAGAAGAGGATGAAGAAGGGGAAGAAGGAGAAGGAGAATCTGGTGTAGACTCAGTTTCCATAACTTTTATGATCATCTTCTGACCCTTTTCGCAATGACCCGACACACCGCTAATGAAGTAAACAAACCGGGACAGTCCAGTTTAAAAACCGTATCGTCATTGTTCCAATAAAATTTCGGTTTAGTAGCTTTGCATTTCTTGTACTCGTCCACTAGCACTGAGTCATGGACAGCTCTAGGAATTATTTGTTTTGTCCTAAAAGTTAGCTAGAAAGAAAGACAGAATAAGTTTGATAAAAAAAAAGGAAAGACCGAATAAGTGTGTTAAAAAAAAGGAAAGAAAGACAGAATAAGTTAAATCCAGGTCTTTGTCGTTGAATCAATCTTATATAATATTCTCCGAGTCGAATTTAGGGTGTTTTTTTTCTGCCGCCATGAAACGCAAGGAGCGAGATGGTAATGAGGAGGAGAGGGGGTTGTGTAGGAGGCGAGGTCCGATTGCAGTTGATCTGAAGATTGCTAGAGTGACTAGATTGCCTGCGACGCACCACCAAGACGCACGAGAGGAGGAGAGTAAGTTTGATTCGCTCCCTTATGATCTAAAGATGGCTATAGTGAGTAGATTGGATGCCAAGTCTGTTATCAAGTTCCGATGCGTCTCAAAATTTTGGTCTTCCATCATCCGAAGCAGAGGTTTCATCGATTCCTTCTTCTCAAAGCAGCAAGCGCAGAGGTTTATAGTCGCTCTGGGTAACGGTTTATCCAATGAGCCTGAAGAGAAGCTCACCTTCTTCTTCTCGTTTGAGGAGCCTTCTTCTTCTTCTTCTTCTTCTTCTTTGGTACCAAACTTTGAGATGGCAATACCAGTGGGACTGAGTTCCATCAGAGAGTCTTTCGCTTCTCTCCATGGCTTTCTCACCGTTGGCGTTCATGGTGGCTTGATGGTATGTAACCCTAGCACGGAGCAGGTCATTAAGTTACACAGTTCCACCAGATTCGTGGGATACGATCCCATTCAAGGTCAACATAAAGCATTGTTTGTCGAATCCATAGGTTCTGATCATCTACAGCACAAGGTGTTAACATTAGGAGGAGGAGGATCATGGAGACACATTGAGGGTCCCCCTGGACTTTATAGACCCATATCAGCGGGAGTATGCGTCAATGGTGTCATCTACTATGGTGCTCGTAACTCAGCCGACAATTTTAGGAATCCAGTTATGGTCTGTTTTGATGTTAGAACTGAGAAACTAAGTTTTATCCAAGCACATCAGCCTCTCGTTCAATGGGGTAAGTATTCCATATTTATAGATTACAATGGAAAGCTCGCTTCTATTGTGAGATACCCTTATAATTGTTTCACTAGTTTTGACTTATGGATATTACAAGACCCCCAGAAACATGAATGGTCAATGCAACATTGCGTGTTTCCCTCCTCCCTGTGGGATTCTGTTCCGGGCTTGGAATTGTCTTTTCCGGGAACCAACCAGGCTGGGGAGATCATTATGGTCCCTACCACCTTGTCACCTAAGATTCAACCCTTTTACATTTTTTACTACAATGTTAAAACCCAAACCCTCAGAAGAGTTAGGCTACTAGGCATTGGAGACAATAAAGAGTTTAGACGCTCTTATGGATTCTTAAAGCAGCGTTTTTGTCTTGTCCGTATCGCACCTCAACATGTCCACAGCATTGCCTCTCTTTGATCAAGGAAATAAAAAAAAAGAGAGCATGGCAAAGAAGATTTCAAGGATCCTAAGAGAGCATGGCAAGAGCTATATCTATGGTTGTTTTTACTTTTATTTGTCAAAGTATCAACTATTTTGTTATCTTATTATATATATATGACTGAAGATTTGCGTTTTTTTTTTTGGGTTCTTGTTGGGATAACAATGAGTTCGAATTCATATGTGATTTTGATTTATGGACTAAAAGATGAAAACAGGTCGAGGGAGACCAATCATTTTACTTTGGAGATATTTTCTTTGTTTGTACAAGCTTTTCTCTTTAACAATAAAGTCTTTTGTCGCAAACTAAGTTCCATTGGGAAGCCAATGCCTGAATCCGTGATGATCTAGTGCCTGTTTTTTGCCTTTTTGTTCTACATTGTAACTGAATGGTAAACTTGAGAAATTATGATTTATATAAACACCTGAAGGTACTGTCCTTTTCATCCCTTTTGAGCCACATGGACATCTGTTTTGATCGACAAACAAAACTAGTAAAGAAGCCATAGATAGATGAATGAATGGTATACAGCAGCTTATGATGTATTCATTCCTTTTACCGCATCTTTGATAGAACTAGAGAGTGAAAACTACAGAATGTTTGGCTTATAATTAAATTTTTATGCTTGAGCTGTAATCCTACTCATATTTGAAATATGAGTACTCGACTTTAAGCATGATTCTAGTGGATAATTGGATATTTATCTTTGTATGTATTCATATATACGGTGCCTTGTGATTGATGATGAAGCTGATTACTGGAAGAAAAATTTGAGGAATACATGAATATAAGATTCTGGAGATTTTACCAAAGGTAAACCATTTGTTTGGATCTTAATTAAATTCTAACCTTTCAGTATTATAGATTCTTTTTCCTTACTTTTTGTTCTTATTAGTACTTATTTTTGTGGGTTTCGTGTATTCGTTGTAATGGGGGATGTAACATGCGGTTGCTCTATCGTTCTGCTTCTTGCCGCCGCCAGAAGTGAATCTGAACATAGAAAGTGGGGCTGGGAAGGTGAGGAAGGCTAGGAATCAGCATGGTCGTAATGGCTTCTCTTCTTACAGCCCCTATGGCCAAGGCAAGTCCACACAAAAAGAGGCATGAAGTGTGTCTCCACTAGCCTAACAAGCTTTTGCCAGGGGAAACCATTTTTGATTTATAACCTACCATCAAGTATTGTTTAAAGAGTAAAAAACAATACTGTGCTTTTTAATTTAGTTTACATGTTCCTTGTAATACTTCAGATATCCTGTTATAAGAATTGTTTAATTTTTTTAAGAACTTGTTAATTATGTTATTATAAATTATGAAAATATAATATAGATGATATTAGAAATTCTATCTACTTTATGAGGAAATTTTCTTGTAATCCTTTCTAAAAAAAAATATTTCAAAGAAAACATAAAGGAGTATTTTAAATATGACGATTAATAGCTAAGAAATTAATAATGTAATCATAACATAAACATACCAATCTCCCAATCTTAGTCATTTTTAAATCTTCGGTTGAAAATTAGAATTGATGCCCATGTACCATAAACATAATTTTAGTACATTAATATAAATTTTGAATCTGGTTATGTATATTTAAACAAAACTAAAGACGCTAAATTTTAGTTTATTTACAGAAGCTAAATTATGTAGTACATCTCAGCTCTTACAGTAACCAATTATTTAATTTATTTACAGACAGTTTCTTTTAATACCATGTTTTCTGTAAATACTAACAATAATGTGCTTTAAAATTTAAAATAAATATATGTTGAAGATTTCTCTAAAGATTAGTTTCGGATACAAACATTAACAAGGCACATAGGAAACTGTAACGATCCATATAAATAATGAGGCTACAAGGAAAGGGAAAACATATTTTGATTAAAACATAAATCAATGTGTTTATTCGGAATAGTAATTGCCTAAGAGGCAGTCTAATAGTGAAAGAACATAATGAGAACAAAATACTAAACTGGCCTAAAAACTTCTTTAATTAAACCAAACCAAAAACAGAAATAGTCATGATCACAAAGACGACAAAACATGAACTACTGAACTGGACTGTTGTTTTCAAGGCATTGCTCTTCTTGTGAGTCGCCGGGAGAGATGGAGGAGAAGAGGATGAAGAAGGGGAAGAAGGAGAAGGAGAATCTGGTGTAGACTCAGTCTCCATAACTTTTATGATCATCTTCTGACCCTTTTCGCAATGACCCGACACACCGCTAATGAAGTAAAACAAACCGGGACGGTCTAGTTTAAAAAGCGTATCATCATTGTTCGAATAAAATTGCGGTTTAGTAGCTTTGCATTTCTTGTACTCGTCCTCTGATACCACTAACACTGAGTCTTTCTTGTACTTGAAACCTTCACCAACATCAATATTAAAAGAAAGTAAGTTAATATTAAATATTTGTAAAGAAGAAAAAAGAATGCTTACGGATAGTGTCGTCAACTTTAAAGCGGTTGTGTGAAGCCCATTGGTTAAAAATATCTCCATGAGTCTTGTTAGATTCTGGTACGATCCAACCATCTTCTCCTCCAACTTCAAACTCAGTGCTTGAAACACATGATGAAAACATATAAAATGAAACAAGAATAGTAACAAGAGTGACCTTTTTCAATGGACTCATTTCTTATTTTCGTATCGATATCAAGTAAGGGAGCTCTAACAAAATTATTGGATTTGTAAAAGTTACGAGAGAGTACTTCTTTTCTCTCTGTTGTTGTGGGTTGTGAAAGCTTTGAGGTTTTGGGTTTAAAAAGAGCTGAGGCATGGAGGTCTGTTAGTATTCTCCACATCTTAAGGGATCATTAATAGATACATCTTTGACTTGGTATTTTACTTTTTTTGAAAACAGAAGATTACTTGTGGAAACAACGTGACTTGAAGTTGTTTGAGGAATATAAGATTTCGTGCGAAATTTACTTCTTTTGTTTTGAATTCACAAAATTGAAAACTATGTGGTCAATTTGTGTTTCCAACAGAATTTCTTAAAAACTAATTTGGTGAAAATAAGGATCATTTATAGTAATTAGTTTGCTCTCTAGTTAAGTAATTAGCTCCAACCAATATTTAATAACTAGAACCAAATACCTAAAAGGCTCTCGTATCTTTGGTGAAGACAGAAGCAAATTTCTTCTCATTTGACCATTTCCTTATGGATTTCAATTTATTGGGTTAAAATTGTTATTATAGAAAGTTTTGGTCAAATATTGTTAAATTCTAAATAATTTAGGCACTTTTCCCAAAATAGTTTAGTTATTCTCACTTCTCACCGCAATTTATCCTCGAAGGATTTTCAATTGTTTGGTTAAAATTGTTATTTGAGAAAATTTTGGTAAATATTACTATTAGATTCAGAATATTTTAGGCCTTTCCTCCCAAACATTTCCAATTACTTCCTCATCGCTTTGATCCCTTTTAGGGTTTAAGACGTTAAACCCAGAATCCGTTCGATTTCGAACCAAACAAATGGCGAATTCAATAGCAGCTACCCTCTCAAGAAGACTCCATCGATCTCTTCTCTCTAACCCCAGACTCTCTCAACCTTCAATGTCCTTCTGCACAAACAACAACATCTCCGACTTATCAGACACTGAATTCAAGTCAAACGATCGAGTAGAACGAGTGACGGAGGAGCGTCCACTCGAAAACGGCCTTGACTCTGGCGTTTTCAAGGTACTAATCAAAACTTCTGATTCCCAATTGGAAAATGATATCTCTTGAATATGATCTTTCTTTCAGGCGATATTGGTGGGGCAAGTGGGGCAGCTTCCTCTGCAGAAGAGGCTCAAGAGTGGTAGGACAGTTACTCTGTTCTCTGTAGGAACGGGTGGGATGAGGAATAATCGGAGACCGTTGATTAACGAAGATCCTAGAGAGTATGCGAACCGTTCTGCTGTGCAGTGGCATCGTGTCTCTGTTTACCCTGAGCGTTTGGCTGATCTTGTCTTAAAGAACGTTGAGCCCGGGTTAGTTCTCTCTTCTCAGAACCATAAACTGTATCAAAGGATGAAACTTTAAGATAAATGTTTTTTTTGTGGATTGATAACATATAATCTTGTGTTCTTATGCAACAGTACTGTTGTGTACTTGGAGGGTAATTTGGAGACGAAGATTTTCACTGATCCGGTTACTGGTTTTGTTCGACGTATACGAGAAGTAGCTATTCGTAGAAACGGTATGAGTTGCCTCTACTCCAAGATATTGATTCTGTTCACTCAGTAGTATTGTTCATATATTTTTCATTTCAAACAAAAAAAGATAGATCGTGATCCTTGTTTCTTCTTTTATGCAGGCCGAGTTGTGTTTCTAGGAAAAGCTGGTGATATGCAGCAGCCAAGTTCTGCTGAGCTTAGAAGCGTTGGCTACTACTGATTCCGTATTTGTAGCTTACTGTTTTCTCATTCTTGTAACTCCGAGGTTGGTTGTGTTCAGTGTTCTTCTATTGCCATTGGTCCTTTTTACTTTTTATCGCAAATAAACCGAACCAATTCATTTTTTATTTTAACCGGATGTAAACCAAATTCTCTGATTTAAGACAAACGTGAAAACAGAGACCAATCTCCACGTGTTTGCATGAATGACACCTCAAACCTGAAAATTTTGTCCTCCGTTTGTTTTTTTTGCACCCTTTCCTATTTCTGTTCTCTGTCACCACACAATATCAACACAAGTCACTCTACAATGGCGGAAACGTTCTCTCGCGGTGACACCCAATATTGGCCCATCTACACCACCACCACCACCACCGATAGAACCAGCCCTTACGATTCTCCTCTCCGCCTTCTCCGATCTCATTCACCAACCTCCTCACAGCTCTTCGGTTTCCTCGCTCTCTTCATATCCGGCGGAATCCTCCTCTTCCTCCTTGGTGTAACCGTGACGGCCGTCGGGGTTGGCTTCGTTGTCTTTCTTCCGTTGATCATCATCTCTAGTCCGGTATGGATCCCGGTTTTTGTCGTTGCTGGCGGGTTCTTATCGGTTGCCGGTTTTTTTGTTGGAACCGTGGCTCTCATATCGTGGGCGTACCGCTATTTCCGGGGAAGGCACCCGGTTGGTTCGGATCGAATGGATTATGCACGTAGTCGGATCTATGACACGGCCTCTCACGTCAAAGATTATGCTAGAGAATACGGTGGATATTTCCACGGCAGGGCTAAAGATGCAGCACCTGGTGCTTAGCCTTAACCGGTTGGTATAGTCTGGTTCAGGGTAAGATAGTTGACATGTTCGGTTTATGGAGGATAAACATGGTTCATGCATGATAATATACTACTATAACATTTTGTTACTTTGTTTCCGTTAATAAATAATGTAAATTAATATATCTGGTTAAGCATAAGCTTTATAATATTTTTTGGTGTTCTTGTTAGTCTCCTGAAATGTATATTTGTGTTGGCGAGTTATGTACTTTCTTTTAAGACTTAAATGATCAAATATTTTCTCAAAGAACGACGAGAGTAATGAACGGTTGATAAGGAAACTTAACCTTTTATTATATAGTATTGTTTTCTTTACTAGATACTTATTAGTTTGCCAAATAGATTACACAATAATCTGCATATAATATTTGATAGCATCTACCAATATATATCACAAGTGTTTAACGAAACTTCTAGGGACTTTAATAACCACTCACCTCAAGACACACAGAACAGAAAATCAATCAAAGTCCTTATCCGTCGAACTTAACATCGACCCAACATACGAACGCCTCGGCCGTTCCGGCACCCATATGGAACATGGCGATCTTGGAGGCAGTTCCTCTACTTGATTTCCACTACAATCGTAGAAGATCACGCCGGAATGACACAACGGCTCACATTTGTCTCCCATTAAAATCTTTCTCTGCCAAATTCCGTCTTCTTCCTCTTCCTCCTCCATCACCGTCTTTGCTTGTGTATCTCCACAGCCGTCGTAAGCTTTTTTCTTCCGACCAGCCAAACTCTTCTTCGCCTTGTTGCTTAAAGTCGTCAAAAGCTCCTTCGGACGTCCTTTGAGTTTAAGCTTCTTCGAGATTCGGCTTGCCTGTTTAGCACAACGTACCATGAGAGAGACGTGGAAGCTCACGCTTAGACACTGGTGGACTGATGAAACATGTTCCCTCCTCTTTATCTCCATGGTATTAAGAGTTTGTAACTCAAAATATTTGATTTGTTGTTGTGATGCTCTTTTGGTCTGAAGATGTCTTTGAGTTGAGTTTTATTATATATCTCCACGGTTGAAGTAAGTAGGTCACTTAACGTAAAAGGATGTTAGGTTACCGGCTAAACCAGTAGCCTTTGCGTTGACATATTTTATTGCGTGGACCTTTTCTTGATTCTTTGTGATGATCTCTTATGAATTATGATATCGAGGATTATGACTTTTTAATATATGAGATATTGAGATCGATGATTGAATTCCTTGGGTATGAAAGATACAGAACGAGCATGCGAGAGGCATGCATCAACAATCTCTACCTAAAACACTAGCGTGTATGAATTCATTCATCACGGAATATTATTTATCTCAGTACATTTCGTGAGCTCTATGACAAAAAAATATATTAAAATTGTTGTCTAATAGAATTCGCCAGCTCCTCATTTTTAATATCTGTATATAGATCAAATTATTTATCTAAAACTAGTTTGACTAACTATAAATTTTAAATAAGAAAATATAACTGATTATAATAGTTAAAGTTTATCTAAAAATATAACCTGTTTCAAATTTTGAAACAACAAATATTTTCTAACGCTTCTCATATTTGAGATGAATAGAGTATTATTTTGTTCAGTTTTATTCTTCGACCAATGTATACGTATATATCGTCAAGACAATTAAAGTGAGGTGAAGAAAAACCCACTCAAATTAAGGTGTTGACCGGTTTGCTATAATTTTGTTTTCATCTGCAATAGTTTCTTTTCACCACAAAATGCAACTTAGAGCACCATTAACCATAGCATCCCTAATGGGGTGCTTAATCACTTTTTTATTAATAAATGGGTGTTAAGTACTCTATTTAAGCAATCTCACCATTTTTGTCCTCCAACCCTAGCACCTCCAATTGTTTCTTTACATGATAACATGTTTATTTTTGTGACACAAGAAACACTTTCGTCACAAGCAAGAAACACCACGATTTAACTATCATGCATTTCTGAAACAGATCTAATTACCTAGTGCATTGCTCTGAAACTTTTCGTAACCTTTGTTATAACTTGTCAAGTGTGTAATTTACAAAGAGAACATATAACCAACTAAAAAATGGCAGAGCCAAAAACTGTAAAAAGGTAAGAAGAAGAAGGAAAAGATTCTATTGTACCTGTACCACTAGAACATATAGCTTCTGATGTTTTCATTATCTGGAGCCTTTTGACAGAACCAATAGATATCCTGAGTAAAACTCAGTTCATGATTTGTTGAGTTTGGAACTAACATTGGACTCAACATAAGAATGTATAGTATAACAACATACCCCCATAGAACATCACCAACAAGCATCCAATCTCCTTCCTTATCTTCATACGTTAGTACTAATCCAAAATCCCATCTGGAAGTATCTTGATCCCTGCTTCCAGGTGACCATCTGTTTTGGGTTTCAGAAACATATCTTCGAGCGTTGGACAATGATTCATAGCATCTATGCCATCCATAGCTACAACTTGCCTACAATTTTTACAAAAGTTTTCAAAAAGTTCAGAGACAGAGTAAAGACAAAAAAGTGTTTGATTTGATTCACAAGCTAATGTGATTAAGCAAATTCTGTAAGACCAATAGGATAAATTCAAATCCACCTACACAATAAAGGTCACATTTTTTCAGACAACAGTGTTCAAAGGAACATTCTATCTGATCATTTGATCAAAAATCCCATAAAAGCAACAAAAAACAATCTTTTTAGGGTTCTGAGACTATGATCATATAAGGACAGGAGGATAATCTCACCCACAAGTTGTGGCCATATAATCATCAGCAGTTCTCTTGATCCCAGCAGTTACGCTAGCTCTGCTACTCAGTGAAGAAGAAGAAGAATCATCTGATGGGTTGGATTTGATTGTTAATAGGGAAGATTCGATTTTGATTTGTGGGTGAACAAATTTTAGGGTTACGATACACAATCGAAAGGAATGAATGGGAAAATACTGTTCTTCTCAAACATCTAATGAATCAAGCCATCGACAGAGATGAATGTAGCAGCGACGACGATTTGGTGAATCATGTACACGGAATCAACCCGTCGAGAGAGAGAAAGGGGCGCAGAATGTCACAAACGTCGTGGCTTGTAGAGCTTAAGAGCACGTTTATCGCGTAAAAAAACGCGTGCTTAGGGAGAAAAAGGTGGAGGGGGGCCCATTAAAAAGAAAAGCCGACGCCTTTGATGCCTCAATAAGCGTCGAATTCTTTTGGGTGCTTGAGCTTTTTCGCGGGCCCCACGACACGTGACGACCCGCGATTGGTTGTATTTTAATTTGTTTTTTTTTTTAGTCAGAAAAACAAAAAAAAAAAGAAATTTTTTTTAAGCATCCTCTTTTTAAGCGTCCGCGATAAACGTGCTCTAATTAAGCGTCGTGTCTTGTTTAATTACATAATTTTCTTTTTTTTTTAATCTGAAAACATTAAAAACTCCCTATAAACAACTGCGTTAATGCTGTTCTTACATGCGTCAGCATTTCTTTATTAAAAATAATAATTCAAAACTACCTGCTTAGTCAGTATAGATATCACTAAAAGATGATTCCACCATTAACAATTTAAAAGGAAAAAAAAGAACAGACTAGTTCTGCCGATTTGATTTTATTAATAAGGTTATGTGGGACAGGAGAAATTAATTTAGATAAAGGCCTCTTCTTTTGGAGTTTACATGCAATTCACCCGCCAAATACATAGCAAAATTTTAGGAATTTTGTTAATTCTGGTCCATTCTTACTGGTTTACATATTATGGATCAGCCGATTTATATAAGATTCTAGGTTTTCTTTTCTAAATAATCTCGTTACGTTAAATGAACAAATGGCTTAGTGTAAACGTGTTTTGGATCTGTATCCTAGTCATGATCACGACTTACATATCCTCTACGCGAACAAGATGAAATGGATCGGATCGGGTTAGTGCTATAGTAGTTGACCCAATTGGCTTCTCAACTTGATTGTGTTATGAACAAATAACACAACATGACGGTGTTTGGTAAAAGTGCCCACCGAGTTTTTGTATTTCTGTGTCTCTGGTAAGCCTCTCCCGGTCGTTCGTTTTATATACTTGTTACTATAGCTTTGCATGATGATGTGGTTATGATGGTTTAGGTTTGTTATTCTTTTAAACGTTAGAGTTTATATATATTTAATTATAGTTAATAACCAAAATATCCGCTGTAGCGCTGGTTGTAACCTTCATCAACTATGAATTTTCCAGGTTCGAAGCCCGGCAGCATAAAATATTTGTAGTTAACTCATTTTTTAACTAATTTTTTTTTTGTCTACTCTGCCCTGCTCAAGTCAGGATCATCTTTTTAGCCCTTTAAAATTGTTGTTTTACATGTAAATGTGAATGCATTTTTACAAAATTATCTGCATAATCATCAAACGATTGGTCTTTTATCCACCTTGTAGCAACCCATCTCTCACGTCACCTTTTATAACAGGACAGCTTCCATGGAGAGATCTCTGCAGCAGCAACAAATATATAAACCAAAACTCTGAGATAAAGATCAAAAATATAACTAAATGTCCTTTGACACGCATGTTTATTTCAGTGTGAACCTATCAAAAAGAAGGGGCTGTTCGTTTCTTCATTCAAATGATTCATTCGAATGGAGATGAGCTTTTTGTTCGTTTAGACACAAAAAGTACAACTCAATCAGATGATCCATTTGAATGATTTTTGAAAATTTAGGCTTAATTTTAAAGTCTATTCAGCTGAACGAATTTGGATCATTTGAATGGAGATGGTTCATTCAAAATGGTATAATGTCTATTATATCCCTGTTGTAATTCACAAATTACAAACTTAAACATAAAATTATTCTGTGACACACGAAAACTGAAAAAACCCACAAAATTTCGTTTTCCCGCCAAATCCAGAAAATCTCGTTTTCCCGCCAAATCCGAAAAATTTCGTTTTCCCGCCAAATCCGAAAAATTTCGTTTTCCCGCCAAATCCGAAAAATCTCGTTTTCCCTAAAAATCGAAAATTTCGTTTTCCCGCCAAAATCACAAAATCACGTTTTCCCACCAAAATCACAAAATCTTGTTTTCCCGCCAAAATCACAAAATCTCGTTTTCCCGCCAAAATCACAAAATCACGTTTTCCCACCAAAATCACAAAATCTTGTTTTCCCGCCAAAATCACAAAATCTCGTTTTCCCGCCAAAATCACAAAATCTTGTTTTCCCTAAAAAACCAAAAAATCTTGTTTTCCTGCCAAATCCGAAAAATCTCGTTTTTCCGCCAAAACAACAAAAATGCATTTTCCCGCATTGTTGGAGGTTGATTTAGTTTAAATAAATTTTAGACTAAATAATATTAATTAGTATAGTTATAATTAATAGCAAACATATGATTAAATCAAAACAAGGGTATATATGTAATTTGTTTATCAAACTCATTTGAATGGAAAACAAAAAAAAACAAACATGAAATTCATTCAAATGGTTCATTTAGATGACTCATCTAGAAGGAAAAACGAACAATCCCTAAAATCTGGATGGATCATTTAGATGGATCACATAGATGGATCACATAGATGGATCAGCTGAATGGAGATTATAAATGGAGAAACGAACAGTCCCGAAGTCCATTAAGCTTTAATATGGGCTCTGTTCTAACAAACGTGTGAATATAACAATTGCAATACGGGTGACTAAAATTCCACAATTTTGATTCTTTTTGTGATATGAAGAAAAAAAAAGAAAAAAAAAAGGACGTAAAGATTTCACTATCATCCAGCTAATTTAATCTATGTGATTAATATAATACCCCTCTGTTCCTAAAAGATCTATATTCTAATTTTGTACATTTTTTAATAAAATATAATAAATTTACATAGTTTTTTGTATTTATCTTCTTTCATAATTTTAAACCAATTAAAAATTAATTAGTGCAATTAAGGTTTTTTGAAGTTTACAATTAGTTAATAAAATATGTATTGAAAATGTAAAAAATAAATGTTTAAAAAAAAAATTCTAAAATATATATCTTTAAAGAACGAAAGGAGAAAATGATAAGTATGGAAAACTTTGGACAAAGGTAAGTGGAAGGTTTGTATTTGAAAGAACTATACTGTCAACGATGATGGCATTTGATGAGCCATAAAAGTCATATGAACTTTATCTTTATGTCATTTATGGTTCCAAATAATCACGAATATTTCTTTATATTTATCTAGAGATTTCTTAAACTAATTCCTTTTTTTGGGCAAAGATTTTCTTTCGGTATATTTAAATGTGTTTCTTTTGGATATTCAGATGAACTTTAAATAATTGATCAGTTAGGTAGTAATCCGCGCCATATTCAGGATGAGATAGTTAGATAAATGTTTAAATTAAACATTTGTGATTATATCAAATATAATTTAGTTTTTTATTAAACAATTTTATAGTTATTATAGATTTAAATATTTTTCCTTCTAGCAAAATTTAAGGTGAAAATATTATTTCTATACGGATTACAGATAAACTGTTTTGGACCACAACTAATTGCCTTTTCAAGGTTTACTGAAGTTTGCATAAAAACTAAAAAGAATCATTTTTGGACTAAAAAAATCATTTTCTGAACTTTATTAAAAAATCAAGACATAACATGTGAAAAGGATATAGGATCTTGTTGAAAAATAAAATCATTCATCTCTACATGAATTTTTTATGTTATCAAAAAAAATAGATTCAAGTTTAGTTTTCTCATGATCTTAGCTGTTCAAATACTCTATGCTTGCCTCCAATCTTCAAAGTATATATCACTTCCTAAAATTCTAAAGCTTTCCATATTACAAAATAATATTAACTACTAAAGATATTAATCATATCAATTACTCTAAATTAAAGCCAAGTTATATATTGATTTCCATATATATTCAACTAATACAACCAATTACAATATTATTATATCGAGAATGGTATTTACGACATTAAGACATTGCTAATTTTTAGTGACTACTATATATTTTTTTACATTTAATGGTATGTTATCAGAGGTTAATCTCTTAACTCTTTCTAACAAATTAAACGTAATATAGTTGCAAAATAAATGTAACCGCTGGTATAATTCATTCAGTGATCTGCATAGATTACCATGAAATCATGATTTAATCCTATGGTGCATATATGGTCACACTTTATCAGAAATTATGTTAGTTAATTTGGCACCATCCCTGCTGATTCCCATTAAGTTGCATTTCACACCATGAAATAAAAATATATTTGACAAAATATGCTGAGACTATAAAAAGATCAGTTAATACAGATTTTGTTTAATATTATTTTACTATAGATATATTTTTGATATGTTTAACCAATTATATTTTTCTCTACAAATTTTCATCGGTTATACTATATATTTTTTGCAGGGTTGTACTATATATTTTTATCTATACACATATAAACATAGAATTATAATTTTTGGTATACTATACATTTTTTTCAAGGTTGTACTATATATTTTTATCTATACACATATAAACATAGAATTATAATTTTTACCAAAAATATAGAAATATAATTATATAGAACTATAATTTGCTTAAATGTTAATCGATGTATAGATAACAATATAAGTGAAGAGAATAAATTTTCAATGTTCTTATATTATTTTTTATATATATATATATATATATTTGGTCAATATTTGATATATTATATAAATGGATTAATAACAAACTCCATTTTTTGTAGGGATAATAATATAATAAAATTATGTTCAAAAAAGAATATGGATGGCCGTCTCCAACACCAACAAAACGCGTAATACGAGTT